GACAGCTGTGGACCTGTTACAGTGGCCCACTCAGCTAAGCCAATGAACTAGCGAAACCCTGTAACTTTCAGCCACTACTGATGTAGATGAACTTTGTTCTACTAAAGCTTAAGAAAATGCTCTGTACCCCCTCAACATTGCCAGGAGCCAGAATTGAATTGGCAATGTAGTATTTGCACATGTACACTGACTGTTTTCTAAAACTGTTGATGCTTTCCTTTTGTTTTGTTTGTTCGTTTACTTTAGTAATACCAGCAATGAACTTCTCTTAATCTTAGCTGTTCCTACAGTTTTTCACTATAACCTTTCCTGCACCCATGACTGTAGTCCTCAGGCCTTGAACCAGGGCTTTTGGGTCTGTCCAGTGCAATGAGTCAGTAGCATAGAAGTGCTTCTTCATGCTGAGTTCTGATACTGATTCCAAAGCAGTCATGTTTGTTGAGTACTATACGTGCCTGAATGCCTGGTGGATCCGGAGTTTGATCTGATTGAACATACCTTCCTTCTGACCTTCTAATGGCCAGCGTGAAACAAACAGGAAGGTTCCTCAGTTTAACTTGTAAGGAGATATAATTACTTTTAGAGTAGTAAATAATTTGGCATCTAGAAAGCCTGATTCTTTTAGGTCATTAGCAGAGGTGGAGCATCAGCAATAAACAGGTCATTTTAATGCAAGCTTCAGGTAGCTGACATTAAATTTTGTGTTAACTTTCAATGATAATTAAGTGTGGTCAACAGCCTTTGACTAAGCAGTGTGAATCTGGAGAATGTAGAACCATGATCTCCAGTTTACGTACTGTATTTTCTGCATCACGATGAGATTTTAACAAAAATTCAAAATTACCTGTCAAATGTACCTTATACCTTGAAAGCATGTGATACCTCATGGGATAAGAAAAAAAAAGAGAATGAAACCCCAAACTCTGTCCTAAATTTGAGTTGCCAGTTGCTTCTGTTGGGCAGTGGCATGATGTTGCAGAAAAGAGTGATTTAGATCGCTTAAAGAATCACCGTCAAAGGTATTAGCAAAAGTGGTTTTAATATGATGATGTAAAAGTGTGACTTACTTAACAAAGTTTGATGGCAAGGTTCACTCTATTAATTACTGCATGGAAGAAACATACAAAGGAAAATTG